GGCGGGGTGGGAGACTGCGGCTGCCTGGGGGGGCTTTCAGGCCTTGGGTTCAGAGCTGAGAAACTGTATTTTTATATCCCTGTCAGTAATCAGCTTCGTTCTGGAGGTGCAGCATGTAGAAGCAAATTAGTGTATTTGAGCTCTTGTAGTTCAAAATAGGTATCTTCTATCTATGTTATGTGATTATGCAGATAACTGGTTGGAAGGGAGAATATAACACTGGTGACAAACCTTCTGATTTCTAAGTTGTTTGTTTTTTGTTTTTTGGGTTTTTTTTATATCTATCAATAATTAAAAAAAAACACCAACTTCAGAGCAGATTTTGAAGCTTGACCAATGTGGAGTTAAGTGGGTCATGTACCTGAAAATCCCAGCATACATGTTTTCAAACGTCTGGAAATTTCTGGTTCCATATTTTACCAGTGAGCCACATGGTAAATGGAGATGGGCAGGGTTGTTTTCCACCAGAGTATCTTTGTATGTTGCCAAGAAAAAAAAAAAAGGAGATAGTGTGAAGAAAATGTATCCGCTGCTGTAATGGCTGGGAAAGCAGTAGAATTTTGGGGCGGAAAATTCTGCCTGACAATAGCAGGAGATGATCCTTTGTCATGTCTCTTCTACTCCCACAGCTCCTCCTTTTAAACAAAAATAACTGTTCAAAGTACAAAGTCCACTATTACTGATCTTACAGTATTTGTCACTTGTGTTTTGAATACTTATGAGCTCAGGTAGGAGTCAGGGACGCGTGATCATTGGATCACTTGCCATATAGCTTCCTATATTTTAGAAGTCTTTGCTAGGGAGTTCGCTAGCTTCTAGCACTAACAAATGGGAGTATTGCACAGGAGTAATAAGCCAAGATTGAGCCATGCAATGGATTAAATCTTTATGCTGCAGTATGGTTTGTATGGTTGGATTGCCTATACAGCAATCTGTTCCATGAGGCTTCTGTTGGAATACGATTTCAGCATAGAAGTCCGTGTGCCTGGATTGTGATTCAGTGTTGCATATGGGTTGAAATTCTATGTTGTGCTTCTAAATACAACACAGTAACTTTTAAAAACAATTTTCTTGTTTTATATAGCTGTATTACCAAGTCTTAAATTTTGCTATGATAGTGTCTTCTGCCCTTATGATATGGAAAGGGCTGATCGTCATTACTGGAAGTGAAAGCCCTATTGTTGTGGTGCTCAGGTAAGTCAATGTAAAGGCTTTTTTGTTAAAGTCCAAATATTGTTTTGTCTCCTCCCCTTCCCCCTTGGATAGATTTGGAGTTTGAAATCTCACCTACTTAAAGAAGTACTCAAACACTTATTTTCTTCTGTTTTTGGACACTTAGCAAAGGCTGCTTTTGTAATTGCAGTCTAGTTTTCATTGAAATTTGTTGAAACAGTAGATATGTGGTATATAAAGAGCCAGTCATGCAGGCCCCTGAGTGCTGATCAAATACATGAAGATAAACCCATGTTCATGGAAGATTCAGCCTTACAGAAATTGAATGTGTGTCAGCAAGGAATGTATGCAGTAAATAACATGAACAGACGATTTTCATTATTGTTATTAGTTATGGAATCTGGAATCCTACCTTAAAGGTTGTTACCAAAAGATACTATGGCTGGCTTTGAAAAAAGGCATGGATTTTCTGGTCATTAATAGTAATCACTGATGTAAGCATAACTCTTGCTCATGTTAATTAAACTCTGTGTATAGAAGTACTTCCTATTGTACTGTGAAATATTTTTTGGCTTTTCACTAATGGATTGGTTTTCTTAACCAGAATGGCTTGTTGTGTTCCTTCCTTATAGCTACAATACTGTTACTTTTCTATACAGCTTCTTTCTTTCTTTCATTGAGGCAGTAAGAAAGTCTTCTATAGCCTGGCTCAGCTTGGGACTTACTGAGGTTTGCGTTGTGTTAAATGTCCGTGTAGTGTTACTGAATGGGTGAAGCTACAGATTTCAGTTAAAATCGTGAGTTTATCTGTAAGAATTAAATATTCTTTGTTTTTATGGTTCTTCTTTCAGTTACCATAATGCTAATAAACTTTCTCTTTCTTTTTTTTTTTTAGTGGCAGCATGGAACCAGCTTTTCACAGAGGAGACCTGTTGTTCTTAACAAATTTCCATGATGACCCAATCAGAGCTGGTGAAATAGTTGTTTTTAAAGTTGAAGGCAGAGACATTCCAATAGTTCACAGAGTAATCAAAATACATGAAAAGTAATGCAACTTGGCATTTTCCTTGTTTCTAAATGTAGTTTCATTCATCGTGACTTTCACTTACATTTTAATTTGGTAGTATTTTATGAAAAAGGCAAGAGGATATGCTGTAAGATAAAACTCATCTCTAGGATGTGATCTGCTTTCGTCCCCAGTTCTGTGGCGTACTTCTTGAGACCCTGGCTCCTGTCCCTCAGCAAAGTTGCTCAGGTTCGAAATAGGTAAACCTGTGCCAAAGAGGAGTCCAGTAACACAAGCTATACGTGTTATTTTTGCCAGCAGAAGCAATATGTATGGGAGCAGAGTCCACTTCTGTACTGACTGTCATAGAATGGGGATTTTGGTTATGAGAAATGGCTATTTCTAAAAGCAAATCTCTGAAAGAAGGTGAAGATTCAGAATTAGCATTATAGATGAAGTCTGACAAGTATGTGATCTTTGCTAACTGAAGTTTTCCAGAAGAGAGATTTGACTCAGAATGAGAGATTCTTACTCTTTTTGTGTCTGTTAGTCACAATGCCAACAACAATTCATGCTGAAAAGCAACAGGTAGATTACTTGTTTTTACCTTTATTGCATATCCCTGGTATGATAAACAGTTCCTTCTCAAACAAAGAGAGGCAATGCTGTTTCTGATTCTGCACAGTGAAAAGCTAACCTGGAGGTGGCAAGCATTGACATTTGCTCCTCATGAGGTCCTGGCCATGAACTGAAGGTGTTTATCATTTGAGTAATATATGTTCTTCAATGCATTTTTGAAACAAATATGTATATACAAGAATTACCTCTTTTTTTTTAATACCTAATTTGTTTTCGTAAAAACTCCTTGTTTCTTGATATCATTACTTGCAATTAGCAGCTTCGTGAGCAAAATCATTTTGAAGATTGTAAACTTAACTTTATTTAAATGGGAGTGTTGAAACGAAGTATTGTATCTGCACATATGCCTAACGCTTGAAAGAGAGCGAAACTTGGCAGCTTTTCTAACAGCGGTGGTTAAATTAGATCATGTTCAAAACGTAGTGTAAGATACTTTGTTCATTTGAAACAGTAGGG